AAATTTCATGTCATTAGCACCTCTAGTAATATATTTACTGAGAAAAATATTGACGTGTTCAATACTTATTTTACCCGCTGTATAGGTAAATTTACACCTATGCTGTCAAAATGTATCATTCAGTTTGGGAAGCTGATGGCAGCACGCATCATATGTGTACACATATTATACAAGTAAAACGTGATTTTTAGTCGGAAATATGGATGTAAAAAAAGACAACAGCGACACAGTTTCAACTGAAGTTTCAAGTCCATCTTCCACAGAATGGGTTTTGGTTTGACTTCCACATTTATCATTGGCTTTAATGAATGATCTCACATTTCCTGCGCATGCGTGTCAGAGCACTTCTGTGCTTCGAAGCGGAGCAGAGCCGCATGCAGTGTAAATCTGGGGTGATGCTTTCTATAATTCTTCTTCTTAGCCATTGGTGGGGGAAGGCAAGTTTTACAAGGGTGGCCACTGCCCCAACCCATGGCCCACCTTTGGTGGTGCTCCTGTGTATAGGATGCTCTGTTGTTCAAAGTGCTTTATAGTTTTCCTTCTCAAATTAACACAAGACCTAAACTATCATCAAGTGTGTAAAAATGTCAAATCTGATTAAAAACAAAACAAAATCCTAAATATACAATCTTGTGTCCAGAAYATTATACCTCACTAATGATGCCCACAGCTCCATGAATTTTGGCCACATTACCCAGGTAAGCAGTGGACTGCTGTCCCACAAGCCTCAGTGCGGGCAGAAAGCTGACGAACGATGAAGGACTGGCCTGGGCTACATCCACCAGAGCACCGAGCAGAGCCTCGGTCAGCGAGTGGTCACACACATAACTGATCAGTGCAGGAACATGGGGGCTCAGCATCTGCATGGATTAGGAAAACAAAACAAAACAAACAAAAACAAAAGAACCAATAAACGAAAAATATCTATTCATGCTAAATGTTCTGTTACCCAGCATCAACTCATCTCAGGAACAAAGCAAACATAATCCAGATATCTTTTAGAAGCCAGATTCTGCAGCAACAAGAGAAGTCTGGTCAGTGCTGAACAAATAACTGTGTGGACAAAATGAACAAAAGTACAGTTCCTGCTCATTATCTGGTCAAACTGGAATGGGTTAGAGTAAACTAACAGTGTTCTCATTGTCTTCTCTATTGCTGTTACCATCGAGTCACTGGCTTGGGAAAAAAAAACATGTTGATTTCGACACTATTTGTTTATCAGGAAGTAAAACGGGGAAAAAAATCAAATCTTATATAAAAATTTTGTCATAACGGCATCACTTCTAGTAAGTAATAGTTTAGTGAAGGCGATTTCGTAACCACTGTGATGAACACAGCTACAATCAAAGAGAACAGCTTTGGGTGAGGAGTCTGTGTGTCAGGGGAGTGGGGGGTGAACAAGGGGGAGGCAGAGGATAAGAATAACTCCAGATGGCTTGTTCTGTTTCTCCTCTGACTGAGACGGTGCATGTTTTACCACCATGAGCTCTGGTCTCAGTTACTGGTAGGTGGTATTCCCCCACTAATGTTGAACAACAGCAGATCTGCTCCAAAATACAGAATTAAAAGAAATTCCTGTGGAGAAATAGGCTCTAGTTCAACAGCTCTATCAAAGGTTTATTGTATTTTTATAAGGAATGTTGTTGTGAAGGACAGACATATTGACGAGTAAACAATTTGATTAAGTTTGACTAATAAAGAGAGTGGTTAGAAAACACTGTTTATCTAAATCAATCAGACCATAAATAATATTGTTAACAAATCAAACAGCAGTGACTGATACTGGTGAGTGTTTAAGGAAATAATCGGATTGTGATAAACCTCCATGGGTTTCAAAAGAAAAACAGGATGTGTGTTCACAAATTTCCCCAAAACAAAGTGTTCAGAAACTTTAAAATTATGTTACAAAAAAAAAAACTTTTGAGACAAACTTTACACATTTTTTTGGTATGCATCTACAATAATTGAGTAATATTGTGGTGTAAAAAAAACAAATACATTTATGCTGAAGAAACTTCAGAGAAACCATCATCATCAAAGGAGAAACAGGTCCACCTTCTTTAGTTCTGTCACTCCCTGCACCCCTGCATCAAAGTGGTATAGAAAATAAATGAATGGATGATGGAGAGATAAATAGTAGGTTCTAAATTTAATCAGACCTAACCTCAAGTGTACAAATACACACACAATTATACTGACACATATCTGCAAACTGCCAGAACTCCTGCTCTTTAGAGGTGGTCCCGTGGATAATTAGGGGTGTAAATCATCAGCTTTATCACGATACAAATTTATATCAATTTGTTTGGATGAYGATACAATGTTTCTCAATATCGCAACTGTTAGATGGTGGATGTGGATAGATGAATCAACATCCCTATTGATAATGATCAGTTAAAGTGTATTTGATCAGCAGCAGCTAATTCTATCCCTAATCATCCTATGAAGGCAGGAAGTGCAGGAAGTAAGGAGATTTGTTTTTGGTATTATTTCTTTGTAGTAACAATGCTTCTTGGGAATAAATTTTATACTGTTGGAAAGACTGTTAATTTACCCTTTGAATGGTGCCACATTTATAAGGAACATGCTTTTGGGGGATGAGCAGTAGAGCTGAGTATGTGGGTTGAAAAAAATTGCCAAATCTTCTCTGCCTTTGCCGAACAGTTTATTTTGCTGTTGCTACTGACACTTGTTTTGAGCTTCTGGTACCCCCAAGTGCTGCCAATCAGGTGCACGCTATACGATTTATTACTAAGAAGCATTGTTACAATAAATAAATAAATAAGTAAATAAATAAATTATCTACCTATCTTTCCTTACTTTTTGTGCTAAGTATACAAACACCACTATTATACCTATACCAGTGACGCTGCCAGCCACTTGATTTTGAGTACATCATTGTTTTGTAATTAATTATATATATTTTTATGTTGAATGCTTTAATTTAATTAATTTTTTTTACATCTGGTAATAAATACTCACGAGTGGGTGTTGGTCAGCAATCATCTGAATGAGACAGATCAGGTGTGGTTTCTCTGCTGACTCCAGTTGTGTCATCTTTGCTGTGAGCTTGCTGAGGTGATGGTGGATGGTGTCCGGTTGTTTGGGATAGACTGAGGGGAGCACTCGTAACAGCATGTGATTACCTGCCAGACAGGAAGAGTGAAAAAATAAACACTGAACAAGCTGAACATACAGATTGTGTGTTAGAGATTTGTCATAAAATATTACATTTTAATATAGATTTTGTGGATTTACAAAGAAACTATACATAATTATTTGATTCCAAATATTTTAACAGAATGGATTATTTATTGAACCTTGACAGTAGGCAACTTCTGACATACAGTAGTTATTAAGAGAAGTTAAGAACTGTCATTGAGCATTACTGAGAAAATCTGAGTAAAATGTGTTAAAACTGGTGAAGGACTTTCAACTGAACAGGAGTATTATGTTCTTTGTTCTTGTAACTGCAGTAAAATACTTCTAATTTTGGAGGTGCAGAGCTGTGGGTCAGAGAAAACCTTCAGTGAACTCTTTGGAAGAATACATAATGTGATGTAAAAGTTAGTATCRCATAACTTAAAAAGAAAATCATGAAGGATGATGATATGATACTGTATGTGTTTACTGTATGTGTTTAGTCCTAACTGTATGTTTCCATACAATGATAAAACTAATGCTCTGCATTTGACCGACACAAGAGATACACTGAAATGAAACAGTGAGCAGCTAAAAGTGCTATGGGAGTTAATGAAAAGTCACAGATTCTGTTCATTACTTTCATGGACAGAATTTCTAGGCGCAGCCGAGGTGTTGAGGGGATCCGTTTTGGTGGCCTTAGGATCGCATCTCTGCTTTTTGCGGATGATGTGGTCCTGTTGGCTTCATCGGAACGTGATCTGCAGCTCTCGCTGGAGCGGTTCGCGGCCGAGTGCGAAGAGGCCAGGATGAGGCTCAGTGCCTCCAAATCCGAGGCCATGGTCTTGAAAAGGGTAGAGTGCCTTCTCCGGGCCAGGGGGGTCGTCCTGCCTCAAGTGGAGGAGTTTAAGTATCTGGGGATCTTGTTCACGAATGGGGGAAGAACGGAGTGGGAGATCGACAGGCGTCTGCTGTAAAGCGGGTGCTGTACCGGTCCGTCG